TTCGAGTTTATTATAAAAATCACGAGATATTTTAAAAAAACTTCATGTGACACGAATTTCGAATTTATTTTCACATAGAAAAGCAGCCTCAGGGAAATGTCACACGACTAGTAATATATATAAAAATTTTCAATAAATGTCCGTTATACGGAATAACAAGGTTTATTATATAAATCCGTTATAACAAAATTTTTATTTAATAAAAAAAAATAGAAATAAAGTTTTGTCCGGTATAACAAAAATCCGTTATAACGAGGTCCATTATAACGAGGTTTGACTGTATTCCGAGTTTTTGGTCAGAAATTTTTTTCTATAATAATGGACACAAAGGATTCTTTTCAAGAAAAAAAGGTTTGCATTTCATTTACAGGTAATATATTCCTAATTTTATTATGATATTAAATAAATAATAAATATATATATAACGTATAAATATATATATATATAATAAAGGTGGTAAAGATAGTACTTTAACTCTACATTTATTATCATTACAACCAAACTATAACATAACATCATTGATCACCTTTGCACCATCTAAAACTAACTCTTCAACACCACGTTTTTTATCACATCCACAAGATTTGATTCAATTGCAATCTCAATGTTTATCTATTCCTCATAAATTTATTGAAATTTCTGCTCCATTTCTAGAATCATATCGTAAACAAATATCTTTATTAAATGTTGATTATTTGGCCACTGGTGATATTTTAGATGTGTGTGATGGATTCATGGAGAAAGCTGTTAAAGAAACTGGTGTGGAATTGTTAAGACCATTATGGTGCAAGGACAGAAAAGAAATTTTGGAAAAGATTTTTGAATTAAATTTTGAAATTTTGGTAACTTGCGTGAATTTAGAAAAATTACGAAAATCAATTGTCACTCTTAAAATTTCCAATAACAATAATAATATTGATGATGATGTAGAAAAAATTGGTGGGATGTTAGTAGGTAAAGTATTAAATAGAGATTTATATCAAACAGTTTTGAAAAAATTTAGTGATGAATATGGAATGGATGAATGTGGTGAATATGGGGACTTCCACACAATGACACTTGATGCCCCATTATTTAAAAAACATATCATCATCAAAAATGCTCATAAGAAATTATCTGACTGTGGAAATTTTTTGTATTATTTGATTGAAGATTGTGAAATTGTTGATAAAATTTTTAAAGATAAAAAGATACTTTAATAAATTGAGAATAATTAAATGTAATCCTGAACTACTGAATCAAGTCAAATGTTCTTTTGGTTTTTATGTAAATTTTCAACCTGGAAGTCTAAACAGTGGCAAGGAAGCCACTACCCAATTCTGGTTTATTTAAAACCGTGCTTTGCCTAGTGAATTGTAATGGTAACGATCTGAAATCGTGCTACAATAAAATTTTTTGATAAAAATGAATTTTTGTAGAGTTATTTTATCATCATCTAAACAAACTTTTATTGATTCATTTTGGTCAAAAAACTATATATTTTCAAGGTCAATTTCTTCCGAGAAATTACGAAAATCAACAAATCTAAATTTGGATGAATGGGAGGCAATAATTGGTCTGGAAATACATGCACAAATTAATTCGAAAACAAAACTTTTTTCCTGTATGTGTTTCCTGATAATTCACATCCTTTATTTATTTATTTTATTATCTATTTTCAATTTCTTAGTTTGATAATTTCATAGCATCTTCTACACTATTCAATGAACCTGTTAACACCAATATTTCATTGATCGATGCTGCATTTCCAGGAACAATTCCGGTAATTCAGTCTAATACATGAATTAGAAAAAATCATGTAATAATAATGATAATGTTGGTGATAATGATAATAATAATAACAACAACAGTAATGATAAATACCAAAAATTTTGTTACCTAGAGATTGAATTCCAAGTGTGTTGATCATGCAATAGCTACATCTTTATCATTATCAGGAAATGTTCAATTGGTTTCTTTTTTTGATAGAAAACATTATTTTTATCCTGATTTGCCTGCTGGTTATCAAATCACTCAGCATTATGGTAAATAGAAATGTGTGTGCATTGTTTTTTTTCATAATTTTTTGTTAATTAACATAATTATAGCACCAATCTCTATTGGTGGAAAAATTTGTTTGTCAAAATTGGATGGTCTTGAGTATGATGCTCAAATAAGAATCAAACAAATACAATTAGAACAGGTAGAAATTATATATATAGCTTATTTCTAATTTAACATGGATATTATTAATGTATGGATCATAAATATTATCAAGGATACTGGAAAAAGTACCCATGATGTTATGACATTGGTTGATTTAAATAGAGCTGGAGTAGGATTAATGGAAATAGTAACAGAACCAGATATAAGGTAAATTTTGAAAAAAAAATATTTCAATTATTAGAATAGTAAGATAATCATTCCATATACTTTCTAGGACATCAAAAGAAGCAGGATTGGCATTAAGAAAATTACAACTGTTGCTTAGAACAATTGGATCTTCTGATGGGAATATGGAAGAGGTTTTTAATTTTTATTAAAATTTTATAATTATGCAAATTTTAAGTTAATAATATTTTTCTACATAATGTTAGGGATCCTTAAGATGTGATGTTAATGTTTCTGTTCATAAACATGGAACACCATTTGGCACAAGGTGTGAAATTAAAAATTTGAACAGTGTAAAGTTTTTAATGTTAGCAATAGGTAATATATATAATTTTAATATAAACAAATTGTAGTTTTTTTGTAAAATTATTATTATTAATGGCTTGTCCATTAGATGCAGAAATATATAGACAAATCCAAGAATTAATCAAAGGAAATTCAATTATTCAGGAAACAAGAGGCTATGATGTTCCAGCTAATAAAACTTTTAAATTAAGAACCAAAGAAACTTTAACTGACTATAGGTAAATTAAGCTGAAATCTTTAAAGGTTTAGTAATAATAATAATAATAAATTAATTAAGTTATTTCATAAATCAAAATATTAGATACATGCCAGAGTCTGATTTACCACCATTACTATTAACAAAAGTAACCTTAAGATAATTTATATTACTTGTTATTAATTTTAAATATTACAAATATATGTTTATCTTTTTAATGGATTTATTTATTTATTTAGAAACATATTACCAAAATATTTGATTCTTTACCAGAATTACCAGACAATAAGAAGAAAAGATTGTTGGAGCAATATAATTTATCAATACATGAAGTTAATGTTTTAACTAATGAAATTGGATCATCAGAATATTTTGAAGAGGCAATTAAATTTGAATCTATTCTTTATTAAAAAAACTTTTGATAAATTTACAGAAATTATTTGCTATTACCATTCTATATTTAGGTATCAAAGAATCGTAATTCACAACATGTCATAAATTTTATTATACATGAATTGTTTGGAGTTTTAAACCTTAAAGGATTAAAGTTTTATCAGAATCCTGTTTTAATTGAGCAACTTGGCTCTTTAATTGATTGTGTTAACAATAACGAAATATCCGGTAAATAAATTTTCTAAAAACCCTGTAATAATGTTATTATTATTATGGACTCTAAAACAATATTATTATTTTATTATTATTATTCTTGGATAAATTCAGGTAAGATTGCTAGAAAAGTTTTAATGATGATGGTTGATGGTGATACACGTCTACCAAAAGATATCATCATTGAAAAAAGTTGGCAACAATTAAGTGATATTGATGAACTAGAGAAATTATGTAAATCAGTTTTAAAGGAAAATCCAAATTTGGTATATATTTTTTACTTATGTAAAAATTAAAAATATAATAATTTGTTAATTTAATTATATTCTATTTAGGTGATGGAAATAAAAGTAAAAGAAAAAGAAAATCTAATCCAATATTTTATTGGTCAAGCAATGAAACAATCAAAGGGAAAAGCAAATCCCAAAGTATTAAATGATTTATTTAAAAAATTAATTTATAAATAAATAATTGTGGGTATAAAATTATTTTACCAACTAGGAAATAAAATTTATACAATGGAAAAAAAATCATAATATATGACCCTTAAATAATTTAAATGATTAAAATTTTTAAAAATTTGGTCAATTACATTTTTAATATGCATAATTTGAAAGCCTGAAGCTATATTATAGTCTTAGAATCTTTTTAATGCTTGTATATTCTTTTTATCCATTTTATCTGAGGTCCTTGAGATAGAGATATATAGCATTCCACTATCTACTCTAGATATTAAATGTGGTAAAGCAAAAATTGAAAAAATTTCTAATGAAGATTAACAACATTATTTTAGGATCCATCCATCCAGGGTTCCTTCAGCTATTTGTTATACAATTATGTGACAAAATGGATTTTTGATAATGTATACAGAGATTGATTCTTTCATGGTTAAAAAATGTTGTGAGATAGTAAAATGTGGACTGGAGTGGAACCAACTCACTGTGTTAAGTCACATGGTGGCCATCAAAATATTTCTATGGTTGGATCTATGCAATAAGGGCTTCACGTGATTTTGGACAAAAATTACTTTCCTTGCTGCCAAATTTAGATATGATGTTCGAGCATTAGTCTAAATTTAGTAATGAGGATCAAAAACTAGTCTAAATTTAGCAATGACCAGAGCTTAAATTCCTCATGAAGCATAGTAAAGTACATGTTTTAAAAAAGAAAATGTTGTGAAGCTTTGTAATACAATGCTGGACTATTTTGAAACAGAAGCTCAGCATTTAAATGAATTTAATTTATATCTTTCATGAATAATTGGTTGGTTGATACAGCCAGCAACTTAAAAAAAAAGAATCATCTGCAGTAACAAAGGGTGTTTCCCCAACTGCTGATGGGATTGTATCATTTGTATTACACATCAGTAATGTGAAGCTTGCTTGGCTGATGAATATTGAAACTAAGTATGAACTTGTATCTACAAATGATACTCATTTCCAAGCTTAAATTTATATAATTAGACATTCTCTAGAATTAATTGATGGGCAGAGGAGTTGGAAAGCTGTAATTTGCTTTTAACAATGATTTATTAAACACTTTATCAAGTAAATTGATGCCATTGATTTAATTGACAAAATAGAGAAATGGAAAAGTGTTTTCTTTGAACTGAATGGTTAGTTTATTTTAAAAACGTCAAATTGTTTTTCATTGATATTGAAGTTTTGAGGATATAAATATAGCTTTAAATTTTTGTCATGAAATTTAAATTTTCTTTTTGAAATAAAATTTGTCTGTCCATATAATAATAATAAAAATCCCGTCTGTCCAAATTTAATAATAAAAACCCATACACACACAATATAAAATTAGTAAAAAATTTCTAATGTCTCAACAAGAACAAAAAAAATGCATCCACCTTACTGCTGCACAAAAATTTGAAATTTGTTCAATAAAACAACGAGAACCAAATAAAAAAAATGTTGATTTGGCTACAGAATTTGGAATCAGTACAAGTCAAGTTAGTGACATCATAAGAAGTTCTAACAAATGGCTTCAAGTTGATCCAAATTCATATCAAGCAACATTAAAAAAATTACGTCCCTCACCTTTAATAAATATTGAAGAGGCATTAATCTTGTGGATTGAAAAAGCTCTTGAATGTAATTTGACAATTACAGGCACCATAATTCAACAAAAAGCCCTAGATTTTGCTGATTTGTTAAATCACCATAATTTTAAAGCATCTCAAGGATGGCTTGAAAATTTTAAACATAGATTCTCAATTCAGGCATTTAATAAACATGGAGAAGCCCAAAGTGCTCCAATAAGTGAGATTCCACAAATGAGACAAAATTTAAGAGAAGTCCTTCAACAGTATAGGTGGGAGGATATCTTCAACTGTGATGAGACTGGTTTGTTCTGAAAAATGGAACCTAATTGTGGGCTATCAACTGGACCACTTCCAGGAACCAAAAAAAACAAGGATAGAGTTACAGTTCTTTTAACATGTAACTCAACTGGCACAGAAAAATTAATTCCCTTATTTATACACAAATACCAAAACCCAAGGCCATTGAGAGGAATAAAAAAAGACACATTACCAGTAAATTATTATTGGAATAACACAGCTTGGATGCAAATTTCTATATGGAATGATTATCTCAAAAAATTAAATAAAAAAATGCAAGATGAAAATAGGAATATTATATTATTAGTTGATAATGCTCCAACACATACCTTAACAGAGGGTGTCACTTTCCCAAACATAACAATTCATTATTTACCACCAAATACCACAGCACATTTACAACCATGTGATGCAGGCATCATTCATAGTTTCAAAGCTCATTATAAAAGGCTATTTTTGAAAAAAAGAATAAATAATTTTGATGAAGAACAGTCTGGCATAGAACCTGATCCAATTAATATTTATCATGTAGTTAAGATGGTTGCAAGAGCTTGGGATTTTGTTACACCAGAAATTATTTCTAATTGTTGGAAAAAAACTGGAATTCTTCCAGAAGAAAATGATTTATATCCTATAGAAATAGAACAAGCCAACAATTTAGTAAATGAAATTCTCCAAGAAGAAGAAAATGCTGTTCAAAATTTAATTAATAATTTACCAATTAATTCACCTCTAACAGCAGCAGAATTTATTTCAATAGATAATGCAGATGTAAGTGTTGAAATGGTAACTGATGAACAAATAATCTTATCACTTACTCCAACTGAGGAAGAAATTGAAGAAAATGTTCCAATGTTACCTTATATTCCAATTAAAGATGCTGTTGCTGCTTTTGAAACTGTTCATAAATTTTTTGAACAAGATAATGATGGTTTAGAATTAGATTATAATGAACTCAAAGTTTTTCATGCATTAAAGAAAAAAATTAATTTGTATAATTCTAAAAGTTTAAACCAAGGAAAATTAACTTCTTATTTTACCAAACGACAATAGCATCATATCAGTTATATTATAATAATAATTATTATTATTATGTTGTACAATTTTATTATCGTTGATATTAATAAAAAAGTTATTTTTAAAACATCACGTGATGATCATCAATTACCTTGGTTACCGGATACCTCGTTATAACGGACCATTGAGGCCAAACCAATATGTCCGTTATAACGAGGTTCGACTGTATGTGAAATTGAAATATTATGGAGTGGGGTGAAATTCTGATTGGCTAATTTGAATTTCATTTTCACGTACAACAGTACCAAAAAATCTGTTTTACACCATATGCGAACGATTTCTTACAATTAAAAAATTTCCATGATTAAGCCTTTAAAAATGCCTCAACAACAGCAATCATCATCATCCATTAAAAAACATTTATATACAGTATCTGATTTAAAATCATTTGTTTTTTATAAATTTTATAAAATCATTTTCTAATAAAACATTATAAAGGGCGCACAATTTTGCATAATCACCAAGTGTTGCATAATTTAATGTTTGTTGCCGCATAAATCTGGGGTCTCTCTCTACATCATGCTAAACGAAACACTGACTTGTTTGATTAAAAGAAGAGCGGTTCAATATTGGAAATTTACATAAAAGATTATATTTTTTTTTTCAAGGGAGAACAAATATATATATACGCTTAATTTTTTTATTGAGATGGGACCGGACCAATCATTTTATTCGTAATTGTAAACCTTTTCTAACAACTTTGTACAATAAGGATAATCATTCCAAATATGGCTATTTATTTAAGTCTTTTTTCCCCAAGCCTTTTTTTGTTCTACATACTTTCTTTTGAATTAATGTCTCATTACGAAAGTAATAATCTTCCTGAAAATGAATATTCACAATTCAGTGAATATCCACCACAAATTAGCACACAAATTTCACAGGACAATCCCGATGAAGTTTCCTCACCTTTATTAACTGATACTCAAAATTCTTCTGGTCTTCGTTATGGTGACATTCCTAGACGTCAACCAAGACGTTATAAAACTACCAAGAGAGTAGAGTTATATGAAGGAAATGTAGTTATAGACTGTCCAGTACCTTCAAAACTTTTATCAATGATTCCAAGGAAAGATGAAATCGAATTTATTCAAATGAGATATACGGCATGCACTTGTGACCCTAATGATTTTGTAAAACAGCAGTATACACTTCGTCAAAAACAACTTCACAATCCTCCAAGATCAACTGAATTATTTATTATACTTACTATGTATAATGTAATTAGTTATCTCAAATATTCGAGTATTATACAATGATTTAAAAATATAATTATTAATATTTTTTAAATTAACAAATTTTTTATTTTTATGTACAGGAAAATGAAGTCCTTTTTGCTCGAACTTTTCATGGTGTGATGAAAAACATTGCACATTTATGTACCCGTAATAATTCACGAATGTGGGGTAAAGAAGGGTGGAAGAAAGCAGTAGTGTGTATTATATCAGATGGTAGATCAAAAATTAATGAAGTCACTTTGAAATATTTAGCAGCAATAGGAGTTTATCAAGAGGGTGTTGCCAAAAATAAAATTGATGGAAAAGAAGTCACTGCTCATATTTATGAATATACAACCCAAATTTCAATTGATAGTGAAATGAAATTTAAAAAATCCGAAGATGGAATATTTCCTGTGCAAGTGATATTTTGCTTAAAAGAAAAGAATGCAAAAAAAATTAATTCTCATCGTTGGGCTTTTAATGCATTTTGTCCTATCTTATATCCTAATGTTTGTGTTCTTCTTGATGTTGGTACTAAACCAGGAACCACTTCTATTTATCATTTATGGAAAGCATTTGATCTCAATCCAAATATAGCAGGCGCATGTGGTGAAATTATTGCTATGAAAGGTTCTGGAGGTGTAAATCTACTAAATCCATTAGTAGCTGCTCAAAATTTTGAATATAAAATTTCCAACATTCTTGATAAACCATTAGAGTCAGTATTTGGTTATATCACTGTATTACCTGGTGCATTTTCAGCTTATCGTTATGTTGCACTTCAAAATGGCAAAGATGGCAATGGCCCATTAGCATCATATTTCTTTGGCGAGACTTTACATGGTGATGATGCTGACATTTTTAAATCAAACATGTATTTGGCTGAGGATCGTATTTTATGTTTTTTGCTGGTTGCAAAACCAGAATCTTCTTGGGTATTACATTATGTTAAATCTGCTTATGCTGAAACTGATGTGCCAACAAGTGTGTCTGAATTAGTAGCTCAGAGAAGGCGTTGGTTAAATGGATCACTCTTTGCTGGTTTATATGCTTTATTTCACACTTTGGATATTTGGAAAACTGATCATTCTAAATTTCGCAAAATTTTATTACAAATTGAAATGGTTTATCAGGCCTTTAATTTGGGATTTTCATGGTTTGGACTGGTAATTACATATTTTAAAAATATATGTTTTAACAAATATAATTTCCTTTTTCATAAGATTTAAATTACGTTTTTAGGCAAACTTATATTTATCATTTTATATTATTGGTAATTCACTCACAAATGGAAGTGCAATTGAAGGTTTATGGAGTGCAACTACTGGTGAAATTGTTTTTCAATTCTTACGATATGTTTATTTAACACTATTAGTTCTACAGTTTATTTTGGCAATGGGAAATAGGCCTCAAGGGTAAATACTCATTGTTATTTTGCTTTTATTCATTACTTTATATAAATTTAATGATGGAATTCTACATGTAAAGTATTGAATAATAAGTACTGCTTCTCTTTTTTGTGAAGTCTAATCAACTAGTGGATAGTGTTTATCATCTAACTTTTTTAACTCTAAACTTTAAATATAGAACAAAATGGGCCTACATAGTTTCAATAATATTTTATGCTGGAATTATGGTTTATGTGTTATTTGCAACAAGTTGGTTAACCTATCGAGGTGTTCAAATTCAAACCAATGATCTAAGTGATCCTGATGCAACAATTTCAACAGCAAGTGTTATATTTGGAAATCAAACTTTTAGAAATATCATATTGTCAGTAATATCCACTATAGGCTTGTATT